TTTTTTTTAAAGTCCTCCATACCATGCCCCCGACCACCATTTTTAATCCATTCAGTAGGGCATGGTCGTACAATCTAATCACTTCTTCAGCGCCCTGCCTTTCGGTTACGATAATAGGATCTTCCACCCTCAACAGCTACACTGGGGATTAAGTTTTGGGGGAACATTCAACCCAAGGCAGGTGATCTGTTGGAAAAAATCACTTAGTGTATTCTTTTGACAGGAAAAGAGTTTATCCAATCATTAGCTAGTGCACAATCATGTAGAAGGGACTGGAAGAATTAATTTCGTTTTGGGCTTCAGTGTGTGGCTAATATAAGCAATTAATAGTGGAGAAATGATAATTTGTGCAATATTGGGACTTGTATCTTAGGATCAACTTTCCATCTTTGGGGTATAATTGACAATAAAAACAATATATTTACTATGTACAACATGATGTTTTGTTATATGTATACATCGTGATTACCACAAACCAGCTAATTAACCTGTCCATCACCTCACTTCACATAGTTGTCTTTGTGTGTGTGTGTTTGGTGAGAACATTTAAGATTTACTTTCTTAACAAATTTTGAGTATACAATACAGTAGTACAGTATTGTTAACTGTCGTAGTCACCATACTGTATATTAGATCCACAGAACTTAGTCATTTTATAACTGAAATTTTGTATCCTAACCAGCATCTCCCTATGATCTCTTCCCTCTAGCTGCTGGCAAGCATCATTTTAATTCTGTTTCTCTTTCTGAGAGTTCAACTTTTACATTAGGATCTATTTTCAACTGTTGAATTCCATGCTGTATTAGAATGCATTATGAGGTGTGAGTAGATATGCATTTGATACTTATAGACCTGTCATTATTTATCACTTCGTGTGATGTATTTTACTGTAAGTTAGAATTTTATCTCCTACATAACTAAGTGCAGCTGTTTGAGGAAGGCTATTTATAGGCAGAGTTTAGTATCTGTGACAGTAAATGAAAGATTTTACGTTACACAGAAAATATTGCTGATTCTATTTTTATTTTTCCTCTTTTCTTTCCTGCATTGTAGTTTCAGATTGGAGAACTGGCAAATACCCTGACGAGTAAATTTGAATTCCTAGGCATTAATAGACAGTCCATCTCCAACTTTCATGTGCTGCTCTTACAGACTGAGGTAATTTGGCCATTTTTGGTATAATCAATGTTTGAATAAAAGGCTGTGTGTTAGGAATTTGTCTCACTTAAGTTTTAATCCGAAATTTAAATTTTTAACCTTGGGTGCATATTTAGTCCACTAATCCAGGAAATAAAACTATATAATAGTCAAAGCAAAATACAAGTATAATTATGAAGATAAAAACTGAGTGTGTGGACTGGTTCCTGCTCACTGGCTGAGCGAGATGTGGGTGCAGCACCAAGGGTTGCGATCCCGTTGCCGGTCCCGGTCCGGTACGGGTGCAACACTG